TGATCACACAATATTGGGAAAACACAGTTTTATATTATAAATATTAAATATTGTGGTTATGATTTTTTTTGGAATTTTAAATTTCTTCCAAAAAAAATCATAACATAGTATCAAGTTATTGATTTCATAAAAATTTCCATTTTAAAAATTTCATCATTTGATTTTTTGTATACTTGGTAATTTTTTTAGATTGACATGAGAAATAATGACGCTTATGTAGAATTAAACCGTAAATTAATGATTAACCCTTTCATTTTTATTCTTGTGTTTTTTCCATTTTTAATTATCAAAACGTTAAATATACATTACTGTTTGTGCCAATTAATTCTTTTCCTTCTATATAATTTCTGAACTTCAAATTGTAGTTCTAAATTCGTTAATAACTTAAATTTCAACAGAATAAAATCGATTTCTGAAGAAACAAAATTCTTTGAATGATTAATTTTCATTAAAATAGTTAATTAGAATTTTCCGGAAAGTAAACATTAAAAACAACATGGGAAAATAAGGGTTAGGTATTCTAAATTTTCGGAAAACACAAAATTCTCTGTAATTGCTTTGTCTCTCATTGAATCATTGCCATGTCTAGTTCTTTAATTGCCATGTATTTGTTAAATTCAAATTTACGCCTTGTTTTATACAATTTTAAATGTAACAAAAAAAAATCTACGGGTGTGTGAATGTAATCAATTACACATTTAGATATAATTGATGTAATTAAGGTATGCATACTTAAAAGTACTCGGTATTTTAAAAAGAAATATTCAAAGGATAATTAATTTCAAAGGATAATTAATAATTCTTTGAACTTTAATTTGTAATTTTTGCAATTTAAAACTGCATTGTTATTCAAATATCAAAAACAAGAGTTTGTAATCTTTGTCTTTTTGATTTTACTTATATTTTATTAATTTTTACACTAAATATCAATAAATATTAAAATTTCTTGTTCAAGTTTTTGAATTGCAATATAATTTTTCTTAATAAAAAATTCCAAATGACTAGATAAATTAACTAGCTGTATGAGTAATTTTGAAAATTTTTTATTATACATTTAAACAGTTTATTTAATTTATTTTATTGCTCTGTAATTCATGTAAATATTTTAATTTCAGTTTTGTGTAACCGTAATATTATAAACGAGATGGGAGATGAATAATTTAAATTGCAGTTTTTTATCGGATTAATTGATATTATGGCAATTTTCAACTGAATGAATGAAAATTTTTTGCCCTAAGCATGTATCCATGCTTTTCGTATATATTTTATTCCAGTTTAGCATTTTATATACACAATTATTTATATGATGCCAAAATTAATTACAAAATTAAATAATCGAAAATATTAAAATTTTCCTTTTTCTTAAAATTATTTTATTGGGGACCAAGTCCGCATTATTTGCTATCAATTTCTCATCTCAGTTAGAAATTCTAACTGTAAAGAAGTAAAATTATTTTAATTATATTTGTTAATAATTATCGGGAAAAGAATTCATATTTTTTTATATTTTATAATAGTTTAAACAATAAACCGTATAATTATTAATTAATCCGAAATTTATTCATAAGATTGTTATAATTTCCTCTTTAATAATTTTTATAAAATAACTCTTCTATCCTAAATATGTACACGTACACATATAAAGTATATAACCTATTTCAACTTTTAATTAATTCAAATTTCTATGTATAACAATTAAATTGAAAATTACAATAACACAAAAAAAAAAAAAATAAAATTGTAAACAGTTAGTTAGAAACTAATAAAACAATTGAAAATTAGAATAAAAATTTGTATTTTGTCTGCTGCAATTAAATACGGTATAACATACGGTATAGCTATCTATGTACCACAATTTATTCGAAAGAAAAGACAATGACTAATAAATAATGCATCAATTCTTATGTGACGACAAAAATAATTAAGTATAATATTTTTTCTTCTATATTGAAGCAAATATTTTTCATCTTAAATTAAAAAAAATATGAAAATAACAAAAATATATTAGTTATGATTTGTAACTGAATTTCCTCTGAAAAATTAATAAATTTATATTTTACGTTTAACACAACAAATTGGGAAATTCCTCTTAAAAAATATGCAAATTTAAAAATTAAACAAAATGATGGATGAGACATATTCGTACATACATTATAACATTTCATATGTTATACACGCAACAACAATTTACACACAAACAAAATAGTAAGAAATCTACGTAAGTAATTATAATAAAAAGAGCTTTCAATCTTAGTATTTTTATAGAAATCTCGCAATAAGAGAAAAGAGCTTTTAAATGTAGATAAGCAGTTTATATAGAGATCTGATGTAAATTATAGTATAACAACATCTTGCACTATGAATTATTATCACTTAACTTAATATAGGAAACAAAGCAATATACACCTGTATACAATTTTTATAAGATTTATTATATTATTCTCTTTTGAGAATATATTCTTTAAAACTGTTATACAAAATAATAAAAAGTATTATATTAAATGAAATTTTTGTATGTTATATTTATTTTATTTGCAACAATTATATTAGTATACTGAATGGTGAATTAACAGGTGAATAGAATAAAAGTAAAAGGTAAATAACCTAAATAAATATAATGCAAAAAGAAAAATAAATAAAATATGCAAAAAAGAAATGTGTAGCAAAAGAATTTTTGTATACATATATATCTTTGCATATATGTATATAAATATCAGATGTAAAAATTGCATTAAATCAAAAGAAAAATTATGTTAAAAAATTATGAAAAATTTTTCAAGATTCTCGTGACTTTTTAATAATAGACTTTTGAATCAAATGTGAAAACCTGTAAAATAGTAGTTTCATTGCAGTATGAGCCTATTCCATGGCACTTCTTTTAATTCTAATAATTGCATGTTGTAGAAATTTCATGTTAAATTCGTACAAATTTGTAATTTATGTAATTTAAGATGTACTTACACTATGTGTACAAGAATAAAACTGGTTTATCTAGTATGCTTCATGTAAAAATTTTTAAACAAGAAATAAAAAAAAAGTGACTATTTAAATATTTGAAATTCTTTCAAATTTAAATATTTTTTTTGGTTTACGACAAAATTTATGCACAATTTAAAAAATTTTTTTTTTTTGGAAAATACTGAATTTAAAACTGGGTTCGTAGTTTATTAGAGTAATAATTATTTATATATGTAGCTACACTTTAAACTTGTATTTAGAAAATTTTTAACTAAACTCTGGCTTGACAAGGCTTTATTAAATGATTACTATAAATTCGGCAATAATAAACAAATTCTTTGAAAATTATTGAACAATTTAAAATTGCAATATTTTTGTTTCTTGCAATAAATTTGATCGTTCCACGGCTATTTCAATTTTGGTTTACAATTATAACTTGCTAATTTTTTTTGCCCATTAAGGTTATTTGTATGGTAAGTAAATACAAAATTTGTTTGGAAATATTGCAATTAGGAGGATGGGTGTTATCAAGTATATTTTAATGAACGTATATTATTGCGGTATATATGCATACTCGTATGTATATATATTTCGTGAATGTTATGAATACCAAAATAATTTCAGATTTTGCATGAAAATGCATATTATGATTTGTGAAGAAAATTGTTTACAATGTTCAAAGAAAATGCTTTCATCTCTATCTATTCGATAACAAAATGCGAATATTTTCATCCACAATTTTTTTTTTTTGTAATTTCAATACTTATAACTAACATTGAATATATAATTTCTTTCGAATTTTAAAATAAGCAAGTATGAAATTTGCAAAATTTTGAATTTCGATTTTTTAGATTACATTGAATTTATGCAGTTTTTGCAAATTTATTATGACACTTAAATGTAGTAATTTTAAATACATAGGTAGCGGTTTTAATGTGCTTTCTCTATATATTTTCTATGTAATTTTTGTTTATTTATATTACAAAATTCCAATATAATAAATATTAACAAGCAAATAATATATAAGTACTTAGTTGTCTCAACAATATTCAAATGAAATACAGTACTTAATATATGTATAAGAAAATACTGTAAAAATAATTGAAAATTAGGTAAATATATATTTGACAAAGATTTATGTACATAATGCCTATATATTTAGGATATTTACATTTATACTTTTAAATTAAGAATAATATATAAAAAAAAAGGGTGAAAACCAACAAAAAAAAAATGCTATTGTAAAGCAACAACCCCCAATCACATGCCATTAATATAACAATTTATTTACCGTACACGTTTTTGAAAGCATATATACAAAATTCTATATAAATAAATCTTTATAACAATATTATTAAATATGTAATGTATGTACATACAAATATAGAGCAATTTATTTGGAAAATGTGTACTAAAAATATTATTATTGCATTATGTACTTATAAAATATGTAAATATATAAAAAGCCTATTTATATATCTATATATAAGTATATTATGTATACATATTTATTGTATGAAACAACCACTTTATATTATAGAAACAAAATTTTTGGCGCAAAAATTTTTTTTTTAATATTGTAAGTAAAATATGATTTCTCTTCCATTATTTCATTATTGGGGCATAGTTAATATGATTGAAGAAAGTTATTTTTATTAGTACATTTACTTGTTTAATTAAATTTGATATTAAACATTTATTAGAAAAAAGTTATGTTAATTAGATAACCAGTATTTTTAATGTCATAAAATGTTCATATGTAAATCATGTAAATTATAAAAGATTTAGTAAAAAAAGTATCTGCAGTTTAGTAGTTTTTTTTTTCAATATTCCTATAAAATTTCAGTATTTTTCAATAAATTCGTATACGATATAAAAATAAATGAAAAATAATTTTATAGACTTGATTATTAGAGACACTTTCCAATTTTATTACATGGAAAAATTTCTTAAAAACAATTACATTTGACCGATATTTTATAATTCAATAATATCATTTACAAACTCAATTACTGAAGGCTTTAAATTATTTTTCTACTTACATTTTTCGAAGACGATTTCTTATGTAGTTTAGTAGTTCCTCGTAAATCCGCTAATTGATTATAAATTATATTAATAATTTTTTTTCTCTCTATGTATATTGTACGAGTATATACTTCTTTACTTATGTACTTAAAAACAAAACTGTAACACTTTATATATATTTATTAAAATGTGCATATATACTCGTATGTATATACAAATGTTTATTTGGAAAACGAAGACAAAACTAATAAAATAATTGACAAAATAAATTTCAATTAAAAAATTTCTTATTTTATTATTTTTTGTATTTTGTGTTTGCTGTTTCTCGCAAAATAAACGCAGTTTTATATACTTTTTTATTTTATAAGCTATAAATTATAAATTAAATTCTTTTTTTATTTATTTTTTTTGTGTTTCCACATGTGTATTATAGTTTTGACTTTGTTAAAACAAAAAAATATAATTTTTTTTTTTAAATAAAATTAAAATAGGAAGTTTTTATATTTTTTTCTATATTATTTTTATTGTGCAGATCCCACAAAACAAGTAGATCTCATTCAATATATTAATTTGATGAAAAATGTCTTTCTCGTCAATAAATCACTTAATAAATTGAATATAATAAATGATATTTAATAATATCGTTTTGTGTTATACGTAGGTATTTTATTTATTATATGTATATAAAAATGTTATAATCAACACAGTTAACAAAATTTATTATCACCAATAGCACAAATATCGTATGAATAAAATAGTTAAAAAAAAATCAAATTTAGGTAAATTTTTTTCCTTCAGTTTAATATTGTAATAATTCTATACACACATACTTATATACAATAGAGTTGTTATACAATATAATAAAAATTATTAAATTTTATAAGTGTTCTATATCCAACAAAACTGATTTATTTTAATTAATATTGAATTAAATTTGATTTTAATATTTTTAATTAAATTTTAAAAAATTTTTACTTAATAAATTTTCCTCTTATATCCACAAGATTTTCAAAGACAAGACAAAAAACAAAAAAAAAACCAATTCTAAATAATTTTGTTTTTTTTTTCTTTTATTTTTTTTTATTTTATTTTTAGGATATCCTAAATGCGGAAAATCTAGACTTTAACTGATAGCTTTATTGCATTGCATTTGGTTTATATATGACGAAAATTCCCAAACCAAAATAAAAAAAAAAATAAACACAAAAGGAAAAAAGACAAAAATAAAATAAAAATCTTTTTTTATTTTTGTTCTTGTTGTTCTTGTTTTTGTTGTGCTCGTTTTCGCTTCAATTTTATCAATCGTATCGTTGTCGTAAGCTTCTAACTAAAGTATGTACCTATTTTCACTATAATAAAACAAAACGAACCAACTTAAGACAAAACAGAAGAAAAAAAAATCAAGAACAGAAAAAAAAAAATTCCTAATGAACTTTTCTAAAATGTTTGGGTTTGAGCACACAATTTGTATGGTATGATAGCGAATAACCTAAATGACGTATTTACTAACTAATACAAACTAATCGAACCAACTATAAATTTTATCTGACGCTGACCGATTAAGTATGTAGCTTTAAAGAGTTTATATGCTATTATTACTATTGTGTATATAAAATACGACAACAACAACAACCAAATCTGATTATTTTCATTATTATTATGATTTGTTTGTGTTTTTTTTTATCTGTTTTATTATGTTGTATTTTGTTTTAATCAAACATTTATGACGAATATCAGTTCTATATATAATAATCATATTAATCGAACTCAAAAATTTGTATTTATAGGTACTAAGTAAAAGCAAGAAATAATTTCAGAATCACTAACAAAAAAATTATACGATATAACTGTGTATTAAGTCAAAATTTTTGTATGAGACAAATTTGTATGATTTCTGCAAAAATAAATATTAATGAAAAAGAAGTAGATAACTATTTACTTTTAGGCATATGGACTGTGATAAGGCATAACAAATACTTATTTGATATTTATGATACACGAACATTTATGTACGTAATTGGAAAATGTACCTGCTATGCAGTATAGTAGAGCATACGTACTGAACTTATAAAACAGTAAGTGGTATTAAGTCTAATTTTTTTCTAGAGTTACCAGTTTAAATGAAAATAAGAAAGATAAACTTGTTGGAAATCTTTAAAAAACAAAAAACTTGACACTTGATAAATGAATAGACTTATGGAAAAACTAGAATTAGTTTATAAGAATTTTTTATGAATTAACTGTTAAAATATGACTCAGAAATATGTTGACTTATTCCAACATGACGTATGTATTGTTTTTTTTTTGAGACGTAAGAGAATGTTCTTAAAAATTCCTTTCCAATTTTCTTCCTATTATTTTAAAGCTTTATTCAGTTTTGATAAAATTAGAAATTAATTGGTCTGATAATACAAGTAAAAGAAATTTTCTTTTCAAACTAAAACTATTTCGTCTATTACTAAACTATTTCGTCTATTACAAACTCTTTGATTGCTTAATTTCATGCGAAGTTGCATGCGTGCGTGCTTAAATATAAACCTATGGGAAATACAACAAATGATTCAAATGAGGGGCTCAGAAGCGCAAAGTAGCCTAACCCTCACTCCCAATATTTTTGCTTTTTTGTTAGAAATATTTATGTATAAAATTAAATCTCAAATTTAAGTTTATAGACAAAAAGTCAAATATTTCCTATATATCTTTATTTTTTTTAGTCTCAACATATTTTTTCAAAAAATATGTTTATCTCAAAAAACATATTTTTTCCAGTGCAAAAGTGGCCTAATCCACATATTGTAGCAAAAATTTTGGCAGTGAGAGTTAGGCCGCTTTCCTTCTGAGTCCCTCATGATATTATGTTTGTATTAAATTGAAATTTTTATACAAATGAAGTCTTATTGACATTAATACGTCAATGTCAATCTTTAATATTTTAGTGAAACTGGCCACTTGAAATTTATTTTCCAACATATTCATCTGTTCAATACACTCTGGGTGTAAATTATGTATGTACGTATAAATGTAGAAATAAAAAATCAAAACAAACAAATACAATAGAATTCAAGCCTTTAAATAAATTTCATCTATATATTCTATTTGTGTATTTTAATCTTTTATTCACACAATTTCTATATTCATAGTTCTATTGTATTTTCATTTTTAATTTGCAATAATGATGTTGGAAGTGCACTGTTCCAGTCTAACTGATTGCTGTTATTATTACGATTTTTATTTTTTATTCTAACTGAAGTTTACTTATTGTATTACGTCTAGATTTCAAGTATATAGTTAGTTCTTCTATAAAATTCAAGCTAAAGTGGAAAATTATCTATGAAAAATTAAAAAATTTATGTCTTGTGGTTTTTCCTTTAATGAAGGTAACACTGTATGAGTGTGTAATATTTATTTTGATTCTCAACAGAAAACACTCTCCACGGTATACTTTAGAAATTATTGACTTTAAATTGTTTTCTTAAAAATAAAAGTATTACCAACTTTAAACGAAAAAAAAATCAAGCTGCGATGTGATTGTAATTTTTTTTTAGTGGAAGTTAAGAATTTTGAATTTAATTTCAATTTCAATAATCAATTGTAAATAAATATTAAATAAACACAGGAAGTGTAGGTACCGAATGGTTTTAAATTTAGTTTTAAAATTACAAAACTCATGTAGCTGTGTGCGGGTAACATGGTATTAAAATCAGTGTTTTTGCTTTTAACAAATGTGGTTTTCAATGAAGCGTTTGCATTGGATTCCATGATAATAGAAGAAAAAATTTTTGTACTCAAAATTTGCACTGAAAATTTACGCTGTCGAAGAATCTATTTTGATTTAAATTGCAAATTATATTTAACACTGTGAAATAAATAAAATGTATTTATTCTATAAAATATTATTGACCATAATATTTTTATGACAATACACTCATGAATTTAATTTTGGTATTCTTTAATTGAAAAACATAAAATCCAATTTAAAGTTAGTTTACTACTCTTTAAAAAGCAATTGTTTCAATTTTAAATCACATAAAATGTTTTAATTTTTGACGTTAAAACAATTTTATTTCACATAAACAAATTCGGAATTAGAAGACGCAAAATATTCATAATAAAAATAATTTATAATGAAATAAATTGCATCTCGGAATTATTTCGAATAGAATAGAATTCACAGCATTTACTTTGAACATCAATATTTGACAGTTAATTGAGTTTTCTTGATTTTGTATATTTTGACTCACTAACAATAGTAATGCTATTTTGCAAAAACTTTAGAAAAATTTGATAAAATCTAACATTTCGGGAAGGAACATGGAATCTGAATCATATGTTAACAGCAAAGCAAAAATTTGCAAACGCTTTTTTAGCAAAAATTTATAAGATTTTATTAAAAATTGATGATTATTACTTTGCTATTTGCAGTTATCCACGAAAAATTTAAAAAACCTGACAAAAATGACAGAAAAAGACAACGACAAGAACCAACAAGGTCAAATTTTAAGAATTTTTAGAAGAGTGTCGCCAGTTTTGTTAAAACAAAGGAGGTTATGTGGTTGCACTAAATTTCGGATGTTCGGTTTTTATTTACGCTTTCCTAAATAATCTATTTGAATATATAAATACATAGATATAATCCGTTTTTAAATAACCTATTTTTAGAAAGATGTCACTTTGTCGGTCTGACTGTCTGTCCGTATTACACTTTGCTGGGAATGTTAACTAACAGCTTACTAGTGTAATTAAATTTGTAAAGAAGTGCCTAAAACACAATTTCATAATCTTCTGAAACATTTTCTTTAAACTGATAATAATTATTGCGGTAAGTGCCATGCTATCATATAATTATTCATTTGAAATATTTTTGTATATGAATAAAAGTAATTTAAATAATGTTATAGCTAAATTGTTTGTAAAAGCAGTATTTTTACTTGCTGAAGAGAAAAGTGCTACTTTACAAACGATTGATTTGATCCAACTTTATTATTTATAATAAGAATTTAACATTCTGGTAACATAGACTCCGCTTTTTTAAAAGTTACACATAATTATTTATATTTGTATTTAAGTTGATCGTTCTTGAATGAACAAATTTTACATGTTGTACGATCCAATTTTGAACTGCACTACATGTTAAATAGAAAATAATGTTAGAATTTTTTTTTTTGTTTTATTTAAATAAAAGCGCATATAATAATGCTCTTGTATAATAATGAATGATAAATATGATAATTGAAGGAGCCTGCTATGGTAATTATTAGTTTTATCAACATCTAGTATGTGAATAAAAATATAATAATAATAATCACTGGAAAACAAAATATTACTAATATAATTTTAATTTTAATGTTGTTTAAATAAATCATGTTGTTAGTTTAGAAAAAAAATGTTCAAATTAAATTTTGTTAGGTTTCAAACTTATTTTGACCTAACCTGGTAAGTGATAACATACTAAACTACTACAATAACCTCATTATGAAATGAGATGTTTCTCAGTTAAAATTATATTGCTTTGTGCCGCCAAAACTTGTAAGATATAAGAGAATTACTATAGTGAAAAATACGATAGTCTCTCGTTAGCATTGTATTTTTACATTTATTTCC